TGCCAGTAATTAGTTAGAGCCCAGAATTTAAAGAAAGAAAAACACCACAGCATTATGGTAGACGGATGGTACTGAGGAAGCTGCAGAAAAGAGTCACTTCTCTGGTGCTCAGAGAGTGCCTTTAATTTAGAGTTCAAGGCTGGCAACTCTGTTACCTCTGTGTAACAGGGATTAACTGTTTGCTTGGCCTAATAACTTTGCCTCTAATGAGCCTCTCTAACTTTTTTCATGGCAAATCACTCGATCTGTCCTGCACCCAGGCTTGCTGCTGTAAAACTGTAAAATCTTTTTCTTTTTTTACCTTTTTCCCAGAAAGAATAATGCTGGAGGTGAAGTCTGCACCGTGAGCAGAGTTCCGTGTGGATCACCGGGACTCAGACCATCACAGAGGCTGCTCAAAGGTTCTTCACCTAATGAGGCACTGTGAAACTTATACTACATCAGGTCATATGCAAGTTCTAGGTTTAAAGAGCCCTTTAAGAGCTGGAGAGCTTTGGGTGTACATAAGGGGTTGTTTGACCTCTCACGTATAGGCCACAGACTTGAGTGCAAACCAAGCTGGTGATAGCTAGAAATGTTCCTCTTCTGACAGCAACATAGGAAGATTTTAGTTAAGAAGTCACAGAATCACAGAGTGGTTTGTATTGGAAGAGACCTTAAAGATCATCCAGTTCCAATTAACTTGAATGAGAGAGTGAAAGTTTATTTTGCTGCTTTCATTCCCCTGACTTCTGGACATCCTCAGTACATGGAGCTCCTGGAGAGGGTTCAGCAGAGGCTACAGACAAAATTAAGAGACTCTCTGTTACGAGGAAAGGCTGAGGGAGCTGGGCCTGTTCAGCCTGGAGAAGGGACACTGAGAGGGGACCTCATCAGTGTCTATCAGTGTCTGCAGGGAGGGGGCAGAGGATGGACCAGGCTCTGCTCAGGGATGCCCAGCAATGGGACAAGAGGAACCGGCAGGAAATAATGCCCAGGAAGTTCCACCTGAACATAGGGAAGAGCTTCTTTCCTGTGCAGTGACTGAGCACTGGAACAGATCACCCAGAGAGAGTGTGGAGTCTCCCTCACTGGAGGTATTCCAGACCCATCTGGACACAATCCTGTGCTGTGTACTCTGGGATGGCCCTGCTTGAGCAGTGAGTTTGGACTAGGTGACCCACTGTGGTCCCTTCCAACCTGACCCATTCTGTGATTCTGTGAGATAAATATTACAAATTGCATTCTCCAGGGCTATCAAACTGACACCTTCAGCAAGGAATTAAAAGGAGAAACTCTTCCCATGGTGATACTTAGAAAAAATTTCAGCAATTACTGTTTGCAATCTATGATCAGACAATACTGATCTCCAGCAATGCAATCTAAAAGCTCATGAGATGAATCTGGAATCTGCAGTTAATTATATACCTTTAACTTATTTACCTATTTCAAGAGCAAAGTAATTATTAAATGTATTAATACATGGACTGTAACTATTAGTTTCTTTAGAGCCACTGCTCTCAAAGAACCATGGGATGAATCTGATAAATGGTGTCTGTGCTGCTTAAGACTGAGACCTGAAATGCAGCAGTAAATGTTTGGTCTCCTGAATGGGATCCAGAATCACAGAATGGTTTGTGTTGGAATGGACCTTAAAGATCATCTAGTTCCAAGCCCCCCACCATGGAGAGGGACATCTTCCACTATCCCAGGTTACTCCAAGCACCATCCAACCTGGCCTGGAACACTTCCAAGGATGGGGCAGCCACAGCTTCCCTGGGCATCCTGTGCCAGGGCATCACCACCCTCACAGGCAAGAATTTCTTCCTAATATCCCATCTAAACATGACCTCTTTCAGTTTCAAACTCTTTCCCCCTTGTCCTGTCACTCCAGGCCCTTGTCCGAAGTCCCTCTCCAGCTCTCTTGGAGCCCTTTAAGCACTGAAAGGAGCTCTAAGGTCTTCCCAGAGCCTTCTCTTCTCCAGACTGAGTAGCTCAACTCGCAGCCTGTCTCTAATAGCAGAGGGGCTCCAGCCCTCAGAGCA